ACCCCTGGCATGGCAGCAGCAGGGGAGGCAAAGGGTGCACACAGGATGTCACCATCATTAGGCTCCAGAGTCAACAGCCCCAGATAGGATGGGTCTTCAAAGCAAGGTCAGTAAGAACAGGGACCCCTGGCATGGCAGCAGCAGGGGAGGCAAAGGGTGCAGACAGGATGTCACCATCATTAGGCTCCAGAGTCAACAGCCCCAGATAGGATGGGTCTTCAAAGCAAGGTCAGTGTAAGAACAGGGATCCGCTGCTCCCCACGGCCCCAGAGGGCAGCAGGAGGAACCGACTTCATCTGCAGGGCGGGAAACAGCGTAGGGACCAGGAGCACCCTTCTCTCGGCAGCAGGAAGAGGCTGCCAAGGACGGCTGGGAAATCCCCATAGGACAGGTCGGGCAAACGCCTGTCAGGGCTGGCCCAGGGTTACAGCACCGGGGGCTGCACTGGGTGAGCTCTCCAAGCCCCATGTTTCTATGAGCCTGTGAACAGACCAGCACAGCGCGGGTAGAGGCAGGGCTTAGGTGGCTGCCGGCTCAGGCACACATGCACACTGGGAAGGGCTAGAGAGATTTGGTTTTAAAGAACTAACCCTTGGACTCCGGAGTCTGGCTCTTCCCAGCCCTTGCCATGCTGCGTAATGCAAGAGGCTGTAAAACCCAATTCCTTCCATCGCAGATGCATCATCCTGCCTGAGTGGATCACCATTTGCTAGCAGTATAGGGCATATGACACCCAGCCAAATAGTTCTGATTCCAGCCAGGAGACGCGGCGGTGACAACACATTCCCCAGCTCAACACAGACAGAGAATTTGGTGCAAGCAGAAACAGTTCACACCTGGAATTTTCCACCCCACAACCAATGTACATCTTTATTGCAATAGACAACAAGACTCCAATGCTCAGCGCCTAGTGGCGTCAGAGAGCTTGGGAAACACCCCTTCGAGGGGAGTATCACCAGCCCTCCTCCGGCTGGAGAGACCGATGGTAGGGCTGGGGTTAGAACTCAGGTGTCGACTGGCTGGGCCACTCTCACGTCCTCCAGAAACAAACAGCCCGGCCCGTGGGGGAAGCAGAGGGTGGGGTAGGGGCGAGTCGGACGGGAAAGCAGTGCCTTTGGGGCTGCCATGGACACTGGCTCGGGTCTCTTAGGAGCGTGCTTTTTGATGGCATTTTCTCTCTGATTGCCGAGGACGCGCACTGGTGTGCCCACCCAGCCCCAAACAGCCGTTCGCCCGTCTCTCCATCCGCCCACTGCTCATTCCCAAACACGCGTCTTCCTCCACCCTGACACGCTCATCCAGCCACAACAAACCACCCGTCCCCCGCACACCCCCTATCCAGCCGCCTCCGTCCAGCCGAGGGCTAGACCCGCTGCCCCTTCCGTGCACACTAGCCCGCTGACAGCCTTCATGGCAGCGGCACTGCTGGTGTCTTTGGCTCTTCTCCCCTCGCCGTCATTCCAGGGAAGCGCTGCACGGAGGACGGAGCCGTGGAGGGTAGAAAGGAGGGGCTGCCGGGTGTGAATAAGATCCTGGCTACAGCAGAATTCACTGCCAGCCACACGAATCCTGCCCAAAGAGATGCAACCCCCACCGGGATCTTCCTGATTCCAGCCTCAGCTGCCGGGACAGATTCAGCCACTCGGAGTAAGCTGGTGACCTCTCAGGCAGCAGAAGGGAGACTGGGCATCCTGCCACGGTGTCCCTGGAGGTGCATGGCCGGGCACGAGGCTTAAACAAAGCTCCTTCCGTTCTCCTGGTGTAATCACCCCCCAGAAATGGCCCCTCTGGTCAGGAGACTCCCAGCCCCCAGAAGGACTGAAGTACTGGCCAGAGCTGGGACCGGGGTCGGCAGCGGGAACAGTGGGAGCCAGCCACCACCTGGGCCATCACTGCAAAGACCTGAACGTGCTGAACTTGCTGCTCTCCAGAGAGGAAGCGGAGTGGAGCCTTGTCCTGGAACCTGGGGAGATGCAGGCATCTTGGCTGCCCGCGGCTGCCAGGTCCACTGTCTTGCCAAAGGGAAGGTGGGGGAGAGACAGGGAGAGAGGGTAAAGGAAGGGCCTATGAGGGGGGCTCTTCTGGGGGCAGGGGGAGCCACCATTAACCCTTTGCAAACTACACCCTCCAGGGGAGATGGCTGCATCATGCCACTACAAGGCCAGCGCAGCGTCTGGCTAGGGGGCTGCCCGGCAGCAGCTGTCCCCTGGACACAGTAAACTGGGCCCGGTTTGAGAACAGCAACGCGCCCTCCCGCAGAGCCCTCGGTCGAGGACTTACCACCGAGACGGTGAAGAGGCAGTTATCGAAGGACATGTCTGCGGAAGAAGAGAGGAGCGAGGTTATGGGGGCCAGGCCTCGTGTCCCTGCGGGACCGCTTTGCCGATTGCTCGTGGCAAATGCCTCTGGGGTGGAACATGGCAGCTATTTCACAGCGCACAGCAACGCCCTCCCCACCCCGGGAAAGGACAGGAACTGCCAGCCGAATGACGCTGAGGCCTGGGAGGTCGACTGACGCTGTTTGCAAGCCGTGCTGCAGGGACGGAGCCAACACACCACAGGCCTTCCCCGAGCCACGCGCGGCACCCAGGCCTGCCTCCAGGGCCTCCCGCCTCCAGACACCCCGCTTGGGAAGCGTCTCCCGCAGCCTCCTCCTGGCAGCTGGCACCAGGCATCCCCTGGGGTCGCCCCATCTCTACGCGAGCGCCCGGCATTTTACGCTAACACAGACCTGTGGTGGGAAAGTTCCGTTCTGTCCAGCATGAGTCCTGATCCCTGCAAGCAAGCACAGCGAGATCCAGAACTGACAAGGGCACCGGGGGCTGCTCCAGCCCCTCCCGGCCCAGGGGGATGTTCTCAAAAGCATCCAAAGTCCAATTATCTAAAGCCATCTGGGCACTGTGGCACCTAAATCCCATGAGCAGGCAATGAGCATTAGGCTCCAAAGTGCCTCAAAGCGGGGAGCGTTTCACCTTCACCAAGTGGCGGCCAGTGTCCTGTGCATTTCTCACCTTTTCAGCTGTCGTCTCCTGGAGTTAACTGGTCAAAAGGAAACAGGCGTTAAGGTCTCCTAAGAGCAATGCAGTGGGTAGAGTAGCGGATGGACAGACAGCTGCTCAACTCCCACGACCCCAGCTGAGCTCGGTGGAAGTTGTGGATTCTCAGCAGTTCTGCCCCCCAGGCTCTGGGGGTCTCAAGCAATGTTCCCTCGAATCTTTTCCGTCCATGTACAGATTTTTTCCACCCATGTGTGGAATAATTGTGTACGTGCACGGAAGCATGTGCAACGTGCACCACCCCTAGAAACACAAACCAAGCCGTGGGCGCTCTGCCAATCAGCTGGCAGCCTTGGAATTTCTCCTGAGCCGCTGCCCGAGCACCCCGCTCACAGGGAACACTGCTGCCCAGTTGGGTGCCTGTAATTAGTGGACCCTTTGGAAAATGACTGTCATCAGTGACTTGGCCAGGACACACCTAGCGGCAGAGCCAGGAGTCCATAGTCCCTGTCCCCACCCCCCTGCCACTCCAGCCTACAGGAGGCCCCTACAGCTGACCAGAGACAGCCCAAGCCCCAGGCCCTGCGTCCCTACCTCGCCGGACTGCCACCACGGCTACCACCAGGCCCACACTCAGCAGCAGCACTCCCCCCACCCCCAGGGTCACAGGGAGCAGCCACGTGGAACCTGGCAGTGCAGAGAAAGCAGCTTGGTTACCTGGCCCCCAAGAGGGAGAACGCACGGCTGTTGGGGGCGGTGCTGGTGTAGAGCCGAGGGACAGTCGGCAGGGGGGATTGAACCTGGGACCGTAGGGGCTAAAGCCGTGAGCTAAAAGCCGTCTGGCTCTCCGCGGAGGCTGGAGAGTGGCCGTCACTCTCCTCTCCTCAGTGGCCGGCGCCTCAGGGTTCCACGTGGAGGGGGAAGCAGAGGGACCCCACCCAGGACTCTGGCCTTGTTACCCACACCCTGGCAGCCACCCCTGCCTCCCTCTGGCCCTGCCCTTATCTTCTGGAGCAGCCGTGGAAGTCGGGAGCGGGGCCGTGGGAGTTGCTGCGGGAGGGGACACTGGCCGATTTTCAAGGGAAAAGAAAGGAGGAGACGGTCAGGCAAGTCGCTGAGCTCACGCTGCTTTGCAGCAGGGTGGGAACGGGGTCCTGACACCCACCCACTGGGTCGAACCACAAGGCCCCATTCCCACCGAGTCCTGTTCCAGCTAGACCACTGTCTCCCGGCCCAGGACGCCTTTCCCCAGAGCAGCTCCCAGGAGAGCCCCTGCCACACAAACTCCACAGCGCCGCCTTGGCCAGCACCTTTGGGTTGAGCTCGCGGGCATGGGGCAAACCCAGAGCTGCGTGGGAGGCTGGGAGAGACCAGGGCTGGGCTGGCAGGGGGTGGGGCACTGGGGGGGCTGGGCTGGCAGGGGC